AGTTGCATCGAAAACTATCTTATTAGAAACCGTCGTTTCGCGGCATAATTACAAAATTTTAACTCTCGGTGAACGTATTTGATCATTTCTGAACATGTTCTTTTCCGCGCGCCGAGAAAAGATTTTTTCGAAAATAACAAAATGAGGGAGTTCACTAAGGCCGGGATGATTAGTTAATTATTTACTCCCCTCAATCGATTAAGGTAAGATAAAACACTTTTTTTTGAAAAAATATAATCGAGGACAAAATGAAATTGATCTTTTGGTCAAAAATCAAAAAATATCAAGTTATTATCAAACTTTTACGCTATTAGCAATATACAATAGCTACCCGGTGCTAAAATCTTCACCAGCTGTATTCAAATGCGTTTGATTGGAATGAATATTTCATGAGAAGTTTTCAAAGGTAGTAAATGCTTGGGAGGTCATTTTATTGTAGATCACTAAGGGGGAGGGGGGGTAGAAGGGATAGAGATTGTACGGTGTAACCGTCTTCTCCAAGTGGCCTGTCATCAATCTATGATTTTTTATAACAATACAAAAACCGTGCAAATACTAAAAACGAGAAAAACATTAGGACAACTTAGCATGCCCCAAAAATTTTATCTACGTTTGATCTTTCATACGACACGGCTTTCAATCATCATCTTCTGTAACTTACTAGCGAAGTCCTCCCGCATTGGAGTTCGATGAGTAAAATTTCATTATAGTTAAGTTTCTTGTCAGTGTCTAAACAACTGACAAAATAATCGATTTTAATTATTAAATATTGAAGTATAATACAACTATTTTTTGAGGCAACAAAATCTTTTTTTAGTCCAAAATAATCGATTTTTCCCACTTTTAATAACTTTGATTTTGGCTTTAAAATAAATCATTCTTAATCGATTTAAAGAACCATTTTATTTCTAAAAACCGTTTTGGCTTTAAAATAATCCATTTTTTCGATTAAAAAGGTTTGTTTGAGTACGAAAATCAGTTTGCGGTTGAAAAAAAAACACAAAAAAAACTTTTGGGATCAATTTCAAAAATACTTGTCGTCGCCATTTTTGTCGTCGCCATCAAAAAATGCTAGTCATACCTTTTCCATATATGGAAATTGTATGATTAGCATTTTTTTTTGAAAAAAAATTTTTCTTTTTTATGTTGCACGAAACACAGAATTTTATGCCAAAACAAGAAAAAAGTTTTTTGAAAATTCGACGTCATCATTTTAGCAAAATGTATGAAATTTGTATGATTCGTATTTTTTCATAGACTTAGTTTATGGAATTGTATGATAAATAATTTTGGTCTATGGAGGTCAACCCGGGCTGGGGGGACCGAAATATGTACATTTCGATTAACCCAATTCAAATAACTGTTAACTGAGGGTAAAATGGGGATCGATTGTGTTAACATCAATTTAGAACAGGAAAACCCATTAAAATCAATTTTTTTTCTTTTTTCTCAGTTGCGGGATGCGTCGATCGCAAAGGTATGGGCAAGTTATGTCCTTCACACATATCTCCAGCTCTTGGTGTTAGTGGCACATTTTCATCAGCGTTGGAGATTGTACGGTAGATCCACCATCTCCAAATAGCCTGTCAGTGGGCGAAGTTACAAAAAATAATTTGGATTGTTTCGAATCCAAATTTTGATTTTTGGTCTTAAATTTTTCCCATACAATTAAAAATGAAGCTTGTGACAAACAAAACGACTTTCATTCAGTAAAAAACCGCAATAGGTTTATTCAAATTTACTTCTTAATTAGAAACTGTATGATAATCATATTCTTTATAGACTCTATCAATGGAATTTTCTAATACACAGTTTTTCGCATGGAGGTCAACCCATGGGGGGTTGGTTTTTTAATCAGACAATTTTCAAATTTTTAACTTAGTGTTTTTCATGGATTTTTATATACCACCTAAGAGACATTGTTATACGGAGCTCGAAAAAATTCAAGAGGTACTTATTGCAAAACAAATATTGTGGTATGAAAATCGCTAATTTGGTCACACTGGGATAATTAACGCGCGAATTATTGCCTTCTTGCATCACCCGTAAGCGGCGGTTTAAACCGTTGCAAATTGAATTGAGGCTAGCTAGTCGGATATTGTTAACTATTCCCCCCACCCCTATTTCAGTTTTCAGAATTCAACTTTGGCGGCCACATTTTCAATGGTTTAAAACAATTTTCAGAAATTATATATTTTAAAGGTTTTTTACTTGGGTATTATATAAAAAGCAAGTAATACAAACACGAACGCGCCAAAATGAAAACCCCATTAATTGTTGACTTTTTTGAACTGCATATTTTATGCAGAAATTGTTGTCAAAAACAATATACGCACGGGGGGAGGGGGAATAGTTAACAAGATCCAAAAGGGGGAAAACAATTTACAAGATCCAAAAAATTTGGTTTCTGGAGCACAAACATTCGACAATTTTCTTCCAAAACTGCAACAATAGAACTTTTATCAAGTAGCCGGAAAAACTGCGCGTATATCAGGGCAAAACCTTGAATTCAACTGCAATGTCAGGCTAAGAAAAAAGTATTTAGTGATTAGAAACTGATAAACAATTGAAAAACAATAAATTTTCCATTTCATCTTCTTCCAGTTTTTTTATCTTTAACTATGTTGTTAAGTACAAAAAGATGCATTCAACTTTTTCGTATTTGGATGATAGGACTGATTGACTAGCCGGAATTTGTTGATTATTCCCTTCTTCGGATCTTGTTAACTATCCCCCATGTATGTATTTTTTGACGGCCATTTTCTGTATAATTATCCCGCATCCAGTTTCAAGTGTTAATAATAGATTATATTACGAGTTTAGCACCAATCTTACTAAAACTGAGAAACAATCGATATTATCAATTAATAATCGATTATAATCACTCCTTTTAAAGTCAAATTATAATTTATTATAATCCATTATACTTGATTATAATCGATTATTTTTTCGTCTATTTTTCGATACAATTATAATCGATTATCATTGACTATAATCCATTATTTTTACTCAAATTTCTAGTTCTCTAGTTTTTCACAAAAATCCATCAGAATCGATTATAATTGATTGTAACTCCTTTTGTTTGTCCATTTGTTTTCGAAGTTGCATCTAAATTGCTTATATTTTATGCTTCTTGCAGACGTTGGTTTCTATGAAAATAAAGAAAATTTTTCGTTAAAGTTTTCCAATTAATTCAAATTTATACGTTTTTTTTTTCATTTCTTCCCCATTAGAGTTGTTTTGTGATGCATATTTTAAGTTTTATAAACACTAAAAAATAAGCAAAATAATTTAGTTTCATGTTTGATTCGGAAGATTTATTTTTCATTTACCGCGGAAACCTTTCCACTCTTATGAAAGGATCTCTGTAAAACTTTTGTTTCGTGGTAAGACTTTGTGTTCAGATGAACCAACGTGTTCAAGAAAACTCTTGGCTCTTTTCCAGTTTCCCCCCTTTCAAATTCAATTTTGAAAAGTCTATTTAACGTTGTCACAAGGCAATGAAATTTGGAGTGGTGAACAAATCGACAATTCTGAACAGATTTGTTCTTCATACTTTACAGCGTAACATCACGCATTTAGCCGTAATAACACGTAAAACAAATATAAAACTCGTTATTTTGAAAGGAGGGGAAACTGGAAAAGAGCCAAACTCTTTTTTAGAGATTTTTTTATTGACACAAAAGTAATGACCCAAAAGATATAATTCGAATATAGTTTCCAATTGACAAAACTGTGGCAAAATAAGAGATTATAATCGATTATAATTAATTTTAAGGGTTATTTGTAAGAACTATAATCAATCATAATCGATTATAAGAGATTATAATCTCTTGGAAAATATCACGGTTATAATCAATTATAAATCCTTTAAGCACCTAATTTTGGTAATTGTAACCAATTATAATTGTCAAAAAATCATTATAATAATCCGTTATAACCGATTACTTACGCCTAAACTTGGATTTGTATTACTCGCTATTTATATAAAACCCACGTAAAAAATTTTAAATATTTATATTTCATGAAAATTGTTTTAAGCTATTGAAAATGTTGCTGCCAAAGTTGAATTTCTGAAAATCGAATAAAGGGGTGAAATAGTTAACAAGATCCAATTTTTTATATCATTTGAAAGATATTGAATCTGAGCTCAACATTTAAAAAATCTTTTAGCTGCGACTATTTTCAGTAATGTTATACAAGTTTGAAAACGGCCAGTTTGGCCACTTTGGGAGAAATAATGCGCAATAAAAATGGGGGCAAATAAATCATTGCTAATTGAGCTGAGGCAAAGATTGTGGAACTGAGGCGAAAAAAAATCACTTATTGGGACATTAAAGGGCAGGGCAGTAAGAACATTCAGGTATCCACCCTTATACGAATTCCTCGGAAGACTATATATGAAATGAAGCGTAAAGTATTTTGTATTTTGATCGATAATATTCGATAATTTTGTTGACAAGTGAGTGTCCAGTACACACCATGGATATTTTTACACCAAAACTCAGGCCCAAGGTTCGCATTCATTTACTAAGACTAAGCCGGGTAAACAAGCAGCTATAGGGAGGCGGAGCAATAAGCAGAATGGTCCAAAAGAAGAATGGGTCCAAGAGCAGAAAAACAAAAAATTATTGACTTATATGGGTTTATACGGGCTAATTGATAAAACAATTATTAGAATCGTCAAAAATATCAAGAAAACGACAAATTATGCATGAATTGACAAATTTCCTTAAGTTTTTAGATAATTTTTTTTTTTAATTCTTGATGAAATTACGCACATTATGCATAAAATGTTCGTTTCTCTGGTATTATTAACATTTCTGATAATTAATTTACCGATTAACTTATGAAAATTGATATTTTCTGTTTTTCTGCTCTTGGACCCATTCTGCTCTTAGACCATTCTGCTTATTGACTGGCCACCCAGCTAGAGATACTAGATATAGATACCAGTATCGATGGTCATGAAATTGCTGAAATTACATAACATATTTCAGCAATATGTTTACTTGATTCTGAATGCAACGGTCCATCTAATGGATATTGTGACTCAAACCACACCCGGAAATGCATCTGTGTCGAGGGTCGACAGGGATCCGATTGCTTCTCGGATGTAGACGAGTGCTTATCCGACAACGGACAATGTGCCCAAATATGTATGAACACTGCGGGTAGTTTCGTCTGTGAATGCCGGGACGGGTTTGAAGTAGACCCACTGAACTCGTTTCAATGTTTGGGTGGGTAGTTTTCAAATGAGAGAATTATTAGTTTTTAAAAAGTATGAGTTAACATGATCTCAGAGAATTTCATTTATCATTTCAATTTCGGGTTCGGACAATCAAATCGCAAACAAAGGCCGAATTAACAAACCGCAAACTGCGCGCTTGTTTTCTGTTGGATGCTGCAAATCCTTAAGCCTTCTAGAAGAGCTTAGATAATTGATACCGCTTTTAGCCTAAACTCAAGATATTTAATTCAATAAAAAATTAATAGTCGCGACGCCATCTTAGATTACTTTTAATATGATCTAGGTTTTCGTTTTCAATCAATTTTCGCGTTTGTCCAACTAGCTTTCTGCATCAATGAGACCACAAAAGTTTTTTATTTAAGATTTGAACGAATGTGATGCAAATTTGGACAGTTGTCAACGGAATGCGATCTGTCTCAACTCTGTCGGATCTTTCTCCTGTCTGTGCAAGACCGGTTTCAGTCCTGAATCGCCTGACTTCTCAAAATGCTTGGGTATATTCAGCGGTGTCCCACTCTTTAACCCCACGATATATAACCCCTTATGTTTACACCCCCTACTTTATAACTCCGTAACAAGATAACCCCACTACAACTTAACCCCCTTTTAATGACGATAATTTGTTTCAAATTAACTCCTTTTATTAAGTTCTTTCACACACCTAGTAGTATTGCAATTAGGTATACTAATTGAGGCCAGAGAAGCCATTCTTAATTCACTTCAATCATTTGTCGCTCAAAAATAATAGCATTTTGATTAGATTAAGAAATAATCCCTCATTCACGCGTTTAAAAAAAACAGAGAAAACTTACATGGTGCTATTGAAGGCAACAAAAGAAGTTTGTGAGTTTTATAAAAAGAATCTAACTGCCTATTTCTTTAACCATTGTTATACCACTCTATTAGATATAATGTTTGAAACGTCTTTCCATTTTACTTTATCGTCGAAAGACAAATAAATGCTAGTGGAATCAGGCCACGAGTATTACCTTAAACGCAAAAACAAGACACCTACAAATTGGAATTGCTCGAAACACCAAGCTCAAAAAAGCCGCAAAACAACAAAAACGGATGGAGAAAACTTTATTGAAACGAGGGATGAATATAATCACGATACTTCCACGGCAAACCTGATGCTCGTTTAGTTTTGAAAAACATCAAGGACATGAGCGATAGCAATACCCCAACCATCGCAATCGCAACCACAATTCAGCCAATAACAGACGACATTTCCATTCAACTAGCCCTACTAAACAAGGAAAATTTAGTTCGCACGGCACAACGAGCGCGTAAGCAACGAGAAGAAGTCTTACCAGTCTCCCCAGTAACCAGACGAATCGAAATACCCGAACTCTTCAAAAAAATTAAAAGACTTGACCGTGTGCAAAATGATCACAAGAGGATTTTTTTGTTCGGCGATCCTGAAATGCTGCTTGTGCTTGAAAAATCTAACTTTTGGTTGGCTGGTGGATTTTTCAAAGTCACAAATATTTTATCAACTTATTATATACACGTTTGTCTTTCAGGATTAGCCACCGCCTGCCAAATAAAACAAAAAAAGAAGCCCTGAAAATTCTGTCCCCTGATAGTAGACCTGAGAAAAATTTGATGGATTCTGAACAGGCCGCTATTCCATCGTTTCAGAAAAGTTTTTCAGAGTCCAAGCTTTCGGGATGCTTATTTCATCTTTCAAAAAGTTATATGAGAAAAATCGTTGAGCTCGGATTGAAAAAAGATCATGAAACAAACCACGAGGTCGCTTTAGCACTGAAAATGCTACCCTCACTGGCTTTTGAAAACGAAGAAGAAATAGGAAATGCATACGTACCGGGTGCTCAAAGTACCGGGTTCTCAACAAAAAAAGTGCAGAATATTATGCATGCTTGCGTAGAAAGAACGGCGAACTTGAGTTAAATATTTGTTCTTTTTATTTATTTTCAATTTAACACTTTGTTTGTCAACTTTTTTGAGAGAAAACTTCTCCTTGCAGCCTCCCGGAGACGTAAACAAACGCATTGATTTGACTTGTCTCTAGCACTTTAATCCCGGAACAGTCGCTCTTTTGGATGGGACGCTAGGTTAGAATTAGGGCTGGCAAACGCTTTAGACATTGCATTGCATGCCGACAGTTCAAAAAAATTAAAAAACACTGGATGGTTCAAAAAAGTAGATAAGTATCCATTAAAATGATTGGTATTTCAATTTAAAATGGTCCGCTAAGATCAAGTTTTTGGTCACAACCAGTTCTCATTCCATTTTCATTTAAATTCAGCCAATTAATCTTTTATTGGCAGGAATTGTTTCAAGATCAAGTTCAGTTTTGCAAAAAATTAATCAGTTTCGGTAACTAATTGGAATCATGTCGGTCGGATTCGTTTTCATGTTCATACCGAAGTCAAAACTATCGGTAAGGTCATTTCTGTCTAAGTCTAAAATGTATTTAGCAGCGTGCATGTTAATTCATTTTGGTTCGCAAAATTTTTCGCATTTAAAGCTTTGATGTTTACCGACGATATGGTTAAGAATCACTTTCAAGGAAGTTTCACTTTGATTCTAACAATTGGTCTTAAAAGGGATTAAATTGTAGTGGGGCTATCTAACTTTGGTGTTATATGAGAGGGGGTTAAGAAAAAAAAGGGTTAAATACACGGGGTGATAAGCTTGGGAACCATGATTGGCACATCTCAAGTCTCTCATTGGTCTTTACCAGATCATAATAACTCCTACAAAACAATTCTGAGCTCTTGTTAGCTTCAACCCTTTGGTCCTTGTTAAGTATACCCCCGTCCCCCAATCCATGCATGTTTTATTTTTGACAACCTTTTCTGTATAAAACATCATTATTTCCAAAATGTCAACAATAAAAAGGTTTTTCAATTTCTTTCGTTCGTAATTGTTTTACTCACTATTTAGACAAAGCAATTGAACTAATAAAGAATTTCAATTTGAATTGTTCTTTGAAAACAGTGTGTTAAAACTAATCAAAATATAACAATCAGAGTTGAATTTCCTAAAATCGAAGAAGGCGGAAAGGCGGAAAAAAATGGATCTCAATTTTGGTATAACTTTTGCGCCTCATTTTCTCAGAATAAATGTTTCTCTCGTGAATACTCCAAATTCAAGAAGGCTTCAAACTACCAGTTTCAGAAAACTTGATATCAACAGCTTGATGGGTGATATACGTTGTTTTTGGGCAAAATGGCATTAAAAAACTGTTAACAATAGAGTTTTAACAGTTTGTTAACAATTAAATATTTATATTTTTTGTTCCAACTTTCAAAGAAAATGGAATATTTATGCTCGGTGTCGTTTTTTTGTTCCGATTTTCAAAAAAAACGGAATATTTATGCTCGGTTTTTTATTCAGTCAGTTTTCGCCGATCGAAATAATAGTTTTCAACAAAAACTTTTTATATCCCATTGAAGATATCAACTTCCTGAGTTCAAATGTAAAAGATATTTTACCACCGATTATTTTTTGTAAAATTCTGAGGTTTAAAAATTGCCAAATTGGCCATGTTCTGGAAGAAATTATGCGCGCTTTGAAGAATTTAGTCATATTGCTGAGAGCGTAACGCGAATTAATTATTCGTGGCGAATTATCCCGTGGTGAACAAAATCGTTCCAAAGTGAATTGAGGCTAACTAATTGGTCCCATTAATTTCGTACGACTCAAAACTTTACACTTTGATTTTGTCCAAAGCTTACAGGTTTTCAATATTTTTCCCCAAAAACTATTCGATATGAATTAAGGGACAGTCGGAACATTCAGGACTTTGCCCTGATATACGAACAGTGTTGTTTGTTTAGAAGAGAAATCAATTGATGCAATTCTTTATGCTGGAGCGAAGATGCTACAATATTTTGGACCACAAACTGTTTTCATTGGTCTTATTCTTACTATCTTTAATTCATACATTTGTTTGATCTACTGATTTCTTGAACACTACATTAAAATGTTTGCAAAAATATATTTGAACTGTTTATATTTGATAACTTACTTATCATGTCACAGAGTGTAAATAATACTATTTTAAAACGTTTGTAAAAAAAATATTTGAACTGCTTACATTTGATAACTTCCCGGGTTGACCAAAAAATGCTTATCATACAATTCTCATGAATGGCAAATTTCTTTTCATACAATTCCATACGTACAGAAAATTGTATGAAATCTCTATAATAAACATTTTCCCATAAATAGAGATTGTATGATAGGGGTTTTCTCCATAAACCAAAAATTGTTTTATGTTGCTACATTTGTTTTCTGACAAATTTTCGGCTGTGTTTGCAACCGAACACAAGTGACAAAGACCTTGGTTACTCAAAGCACCGAAGGTTGGACGGTCTTGCAATTACAATGCATGAACAACGGCCTGAACTGTCTTCGAGCTGTCTTTCACAAATTATAAGTTAAAAGTAACAAACTTTTATTTTTTGGCAAAATTTTTCCATGATTATTTTAAATTTTTGAATTTTTGAATTATCAGACATTGATCAAGGTATAAAAAAACACGCCATACAAAATAATTAGGAAATTTCAGTGTTTTTGAAAAAAAATTTATTTGAAAAGAAAAAAAGCCAATATTATTGTATCTAAGACTACGTTATGCACACAAAAATTATGCATGCAAAATTTTTTTTAATGTTTTTTTTTGCGTGCAAAATTAGATTTGCGGTTGAAAAAAAAACAAATTTTTGGGGCAAGTTTTCAAAATTACTACTGAAAAATTTTGGGTCGTTTATGGAAATTGTATGGTAAGCATTTTTTCAAAAAAATTTCAAATGTTTTTTCTGTCACCATTCCGTTCAACTGTTCTCAAAGAGCCGCAGAAATGGTTTAATTTTTTTTCTATTGATTTTCGAAAATGTATGAAAATTGTATGAAAAGCATTTTCTCCATACACTTGATGTATGGGATTGTATGATAATGATTTTTGTTGTATGGAATTGTATGATAAGCAGTTTCGGGGTATGGAGGTCAACCCGGGTTACTTATCATGTCACAGAGTGCAAATAATACTATTTTAAATGCTTGCAAAAAAAATATTTGAGCTGTTTATATTTGATAACATACTTATCATGTCACAGAGCGTAAATAATACTATTTTAAAATGTTTGTAAAAATTATTTGAGCTGCTTATATTTGATAACTTACTTATCATATCACAGAGTGTAAATAATGTTTAAAATAAACGCCAAAATACCAAAAAAAACTAGATTGCTTCTATGACGTAAAAGTCCTAAACAGGAGTGGATTTAGGGGGATTGGGCAGATACCCCCTTCCCCGATGATTCGACTCCTTTTCTTTACGACCGACATCTTGGGCTTTTCGTTTGTGCTCCCGAAGTGAAAGCGGAGGAAAATCAAAATGAGTTAGGACCGATGTGGTTATCTCATAGAGTAATTTCGGATAGGGTACATCGTCTGCTCGTCACGCTATCTTATTTTCGGCCGGTTAGATTCGTGCAACTTCTTAGTCTAATACCGATCCTAATCTTACTCTTATATCTACTAGTCTCAGGGTATTTAACTACTCTCTGCTAGGCTCAATAGATCTAGAATATACTGGCTTATTGCAACTGCTGAAGTTCTCTTGGAGAGGCAACTAATTTCTAAGTTAAATTCAAATCTCTCTGGTGCTGAAATTACAAGTAATTTCAGCACTTACAAATAAGTGGGTTGTTAGTTAGATGGATTATGATTGGCTAATATTAAATATTTTCAAGTGGTAAAATATCCAATTTATCCAATAATAAAATGTAGTTTAGATCAGGTTCCACCCATTCGCGGTTTACAGAGTTTTTTAGAACTATCTTTCTTCTCTGCAATTTGAAGGATGGATGATGAACGTTGGTATTTGGCGAACATCATTTTCTTGTCCGGTTCCTCTTGGAGAAGAACGTTCCAGGACGCTGGAATTATGGATAGGAAATTGTTACATCGTCATTCGACAACGACTGTGATCCCCAATGAAATCAATCCGATTTCAAAATGGTTTGCTATGACAGGTTTTTCTGTATTATGTAGAGAACTTGTTTTGTGTGCAACCTCGTCTGGGAATGGCGTGAAGATCTTGTGTGGAAGGGATGCCTTGTAACTCGGATTTGTACGTATACTTGAACATCGAGGTGGTCATTGTTCTAGTTCAATGAAGTCCTTTTCTGCGAAGTCAAGTCGTACTCTAAATCCTTTGAGTTGTGATTGTGGACGGCATGTCCGTTGTGTTTAGCCATTCTTTTGTTCGAGTGTGATAGGATCATCTAGTCTTTGGATGTTCGTCTTTGTTGTTGTGTATGATCTATATACTGCAAAGTATGATTTACTATTTATAAATTTATTTTAATTCCGTTTTTTTAATCATGATTTTAGTTAGTCGTTTTCACAAAAGCGTTTGGTTTTAGTTCGGTTATTTTGAAGAGTTACTCACCCTTGAGTACGTCCTATTAAAAATAGGAGTATGGTCACAAAGCGTGGATGTAGCGCGGTGGGATAGGCCGGCTATAGAGCATGCTCAGGACGTCCTCTCTGGTGGGTTAGGCCAGGGGTGGGAGTATGATTTCATGCTATTTCTTTGAGAGGTCCTGTTATGTGATAACGTTTTATGTTGAGTTTATGTTGGTATTTCTTATGTTACTTTGGTTGTGTCCTTTTTTCAAAAATCAAATTGTTTTTGGTATGGGTTTGTCTTGCGAATTTTTTGTGTTTTATTATTTCTTTCTGAGACTTTATAATAGTCTTCAAAAGAATAAATTATCCAGTTTTAAACTGGGTTAATCCGGTTTGGGTACCGTTGCTTTTCTTTTCTTAGTCATGCTGTTATTTTATGATTTGTGGTGTTTAGTAAGCTGCGATGGTTAGTTTGGTTTAGTATATAATTCCTTTCCAACCGGGTTAAAGGAAAGTTTGAAACTTGTTATCGTGTGTTAGAGTTGTTGATAGTGAAAGCTCGAAATTTAAAATCATTATTTGAACAATTCTTCGTGGGCGAGCTGTGCGAGTTTGGATAGAATTCTTGTGCGAGTGAATGAAAATATTGAAAAAGTTAGTATTGTTTTCTCATTTTATCAATTTATTGCATAGAGTTTGAATTTTACTGCGTTTTGGCGGAATTTAAAATTATAAATTTTCATCGTAGCTAAGTTTACTGCTTCACGGGGAAAAAATTTATATATAAAATTACTACATTTGGTATGAACTTTACTACATTATTTAGAGCAAGAAATTAACGAATTTTAAGATAATTTAACAAGTTTGTATTTTTATTTTTCTTTTCTGTTTTGTAGATGATCGTGGTGTGAAGACGAGAAATGTAAATCAAACAATGATAGAAAATGGTTAGTACTAATTTAAATTTGTTAGTTAAGAGTATTTCAAATTATACTTACCTTAATCTTCTGGGAAAAAGCCGTGGGGGAAGATGTCGTGAATCATATCTGATGTTGTTAGTATTTTGGCTAGTATGAGTATTATGTTTTTAGTTTGTAGCAGTGGCCAGAGCAATTGAAGTGCTTTAATGGTGTTTTGTTCTTCGGTGCCTACTGCAAACTCGTAAGGTGTGTTTTGAATGAGGTTATATATTTTATGATTATATTTAGTGTTGAGAATGAATTCTAATATGGGTATTTCAAAAGGCTGGATAAATTCATGCGGGATAAGGAAGGGTCTGGATTCTTCGGCATTGAAGGTCTTCGTGATGGGACAGAATATATACATTTGGGTAACTGGGTCATAGTTGCGGAGGATGCCGTGGAGGTTAGTATCTTTGATGCAATATGTAAAATTAGGGAAAAATTGTGACGTGTACTTTGAGCTAAGAAACTGAAAACGATGGTGAGGTTGTCTTGATGGGGTGGGCAAATCAAAATGATTTTGTATAAAACGATAGTATGTATATGTGTGGGTTTGTTTAGTGCGTAACATAATATTGTGGGAACAGTGCAAATCGCGTTCCCGTGGTGAAATAAAGTGAAAGGTTAGTGAAAATAACTGAAATTTATCATAGAAGCTCCCGTATGCTTGAATATCAGCTAGTGATTCTGAAATTATGTGGTCATTCTTTCTATCAAAAATATTAAGTGTGAATACGTATGATGTTTTGATGAAAAATTTTTCTGTCAATTGCGGGTTTGCGAAGCGGTCTTCATCTAAAAATTGGTCTTGATTAGGGCGGATGATATTATGATTGTAATATTCTATTGCAAATTCGTTAGCTCGGGGTGCAGTGAATGTTTTTAGTAACTTTTTATATCCAACGTAAGTAAATTGTCGAGGTGTTAGTGTTGTGGTGAGTCTATATAACTTGTTTTTGTTCTTTTCTATGCTGTCATGAGTTTTTGCTAGTGGTAGGCAAAGGGGGTTAGTAAAATTATAATAAGCTGTCCAATGAAGTGTTGGCATTAAAATATGTTCATCTACAAAATTGTATGTGTCATTAGTATTGTTAGGTGTGTTAAATGTTTATTGCGGAAATGAGGGTAAGGTGATTTCAAGAAAATTTTTCGTGTTGGTGTGTTGCGGGTGATTAATATATTCGCGGGCTGTTCCGGGTTTGGTTGGGAACGGGTGATTTGGAAATTTTCGTTTAAAAGTGCGATAAGCTCTGTGAGTGCTAGTAGGTGTTTCGGTAGATGTGGATGATTGTGCTAGTGATGGAGTGTAAGCTGAGGAGGGTGTGGGAGTAGGTGGATTTGAGGATGTTATTGTGGATGATAGTTGATGTATTGTAAGGGTGTTGGCGTGTATTAATTGTTGTTGTGAAGTTATAAATTTATCGAGCTCCTGGGAAATTTGGGGGGTATCCGGGAAATTATTATATGATCTGTCGGAAGGAAGTGGAGAATAGGTTGGGGTCACTTGGGAAGCATAAGAAGGAGTGGAAATGGATGGGAGTGGATGATTAGATGGGATTGGTTGAAAGGGGGTTTTGAAAAAACTGAGGAGTTGGTCTGGGTATAATTAGAGGGAGATGGTTTGGAGTCTGCAAATTCGTCGGGGGTCTCTACAATAGAGTTATTAAATTGTGAGATAGAATATAAAACTGAAATATCTGAGTTAGTATCAGAATTCGTGCTTGATGA